AATAAAAAATACCGCGTAACTCAGGGCTTTAAAGTTCGACAGTAAATTATTTAAGCCACCCAGATACATGTTTGATAACATTTACATTAAATTACATAAAACGTTCCATTAAATGTGTGTTCAAGTGTTTTATACGATTTTAAAAGTAATTCTTGGAACGCGGTGTGATGGGCGCCGAGCAGTCAAGTCTGAGTGTGGAAGAGCCTCGTGGTTAATGGGGCGTGACCGCGGGTGACCAGCGCGGGTCACGACACACGGCCCTAGTCTTACCGTACCGTTTGCTTGTAAAATTGTTTTAGTTAAAAAAAAAACATAGACTACATTTCTTAAATATTTAAAATAGTATTCTGCTTGTTTTTAATAAAATCAACAAATTAAAGAGTGGACGGTTAGCGTGGTATGGACATGTGATGCGTAGAGAGAAGATGCATGTGACTAGGAGATGTATGGAAATGATAGTGCAAAGTAGAGGGAAAGACGTCGACCGAAGAGAGAGAGGAGTGTTGAGACGACGGCTGTTAGAAGAGAATGGAACAGAAAAATTACCTGCGCCGACCCTACCTAGTGGGATAAGTTGGAGAAAAAGAAGAAGAAGATTCTGCTTATTTTTATATTTACCTAAATACCTGTCTATTTCAACGATATTTGACGTTGTTTTATTTTTTTATATAAAATAACACTTATTGCGGCATAACTACAATAGTTAGAATTATGTTGCCGCGACACTTTTCATAATAAATAATGTGTTCTACAAAGTCGTAGTACATTATTTTATTCTATCATCTATAGTTTTCGCTGTCACTCTGGAATAGTGTAGGTTCCTAACAGTGAAAGATTTTTTTCAAATCGGTTCAGAAGCTTCGGAGCCTATTCAATATAAACAAACAAACAAATCTTTCCTCTTTATAATATTAGTATAGATAAAGAAAGTTGAGGCTTATAAAATCAAAGGCAGCTAAATCCAAGTCTGTCAAATATTCAGGTAAACTACAAAAATCGGCCCTAAACACGTCATTACGGATCCTCCCGATCCATCGAAGTACTGCTCTTGCTAGGGCCAGTGCTAGCAACAGCTCCCGGCTTGAGAAGCTGAAATAACTTTGTTCGGATAGCTACAATATTCTTTATTTTAAAGCAGATTTAGAAAGAATGGGAATATTACTAATAATCTGAATTTTAAATGATAATACTTCGTTTGTTAGTTCTTAGTATAGAGTAAAAATAAAATTTTTGAACTGAATTTGTTAGAGATTTAGCTGCATTTGTTATAACATGAAAACACTAAAGCGTGTCCAACTAACTAAACAAGATAGCGCCATTGTTAATCCATTTTACGAAATTAAGGCGTTTAGTTGCCTTTGATTTTATAGGCCTCAGTTATAATGTATTTCCGTCGTAGGGCAAAGGTAGTTTTGTAAAAGGATAGAAGCGCGAGTGAGCGATGCTGTGCGCTCGAGCGCGCCCGTGGCATGTGTAGTGCGAAAGGCTCGGAGGCACTGCGATACCCGAGACGCCACATCCCGGAAGGCTGCGGCTGAGGCCCTCAACGTTCCCACACCCGTGACATTTCATAACCTAATCTCGGTCCGCACGTATGAGGGCGATGACTTCCGATCAAAGCGGTCATAAATTTTCAAGAGAACATCACAAAATTTTGCCGCACAACCAATTCGGAGCGTCGCATTTTAATAAGATCTAAAATACATTAGTAGATATTCCTAACAGTTAATAAAAGGTTCGAGAAATGTGGTAACGGAATCTGGTAAGGTTTTTGTAATATTGAATATGAATTCGGTGTTCGTTACAATATTATTATCTATGGAAACGGTATAACTAAACACAAAATAAAACTAACATTCAGTGAAGACGCATTAAAATTGAATAAAATCAAATTCCGCGTGGCTCGTAAATAAATAAGAATATGGTATTAGTATTTCAAATTTAATGTGAAATTATTGCTTTGTGAAACTTCATACACATATTTTCTGTATTGATATTTTATATATCTCAAAGGTTAACGTTAAACGAATCAAAGTAATTAATGACAAGACTTGTACGTACACCCTTACGTATACATTATGCTGTACTAAATTTACAATAAAACATGTTTACGATAATGTGAATCTTCTAATTCAATAGAACGTCGTAAATTTCTTCTCCTACATAATATTTTCTTTACGATAAATAAATGCATAGTGGATATATTCAATTTCATTTTACTTTCTAGCTTACAGAGTAACATATGTAATGTGAATTTTATTGAACATTTTCGGCGTCGTTTTAAATTTACGAATTCATTTCATACAGTAAAATGAGAATCAAAATAAGCATGTATATGAAATCATTTTTACATGTTAATGAATAAATAAAATCAGAAGTCAAAAGAAAACATCTTAAAAAAAACATTCTTAAAATTCATGAAGAAACAAAAATAGTCAAGATAAATAAATTTATTTTACCTAGGATTGAAATTCATAGATAGATTTATTGAGCAGAGATAAATGATACATTATGTATAAGATGCAACAACGCATAGATAGTTGAACATCAAAATATTATATAGTTAGTGAACACTAGCATTAAAGTTGTCTTATTAATGAATGAATTTTGTATCACTAAAGCACTTGTACCTATCTTTTTTTAACGTAAACTCCCGATTATGTTTATGCCAATAGAATTATAAATTATAATTTACACAGTCTATAGACTACATTATGAATGGACTCCGTACCAACAGATAAAACAAATCTGTTACATGCTCAAGTTCTTTGTTTTCATATTTTACGGTGTACATGAGATACAGCAAACGTTCGAACACGCGTGATTCATAACCGGTGTTGTTTGGCATTTGCATGACTACGCTTCGGCTAATTGCTATTCAATATATACGATATAAATCGGCTACAATTCCACTGATCGGATTCGAGCAGAACATCGCGATAACCTTACATTGTTAAAGATCCGTAACAGGGTTATCGGCTTTGGCCTACCGTGGTTACAATACAAAGCACTCTGAACCCCCTAGACTGTTTGCGGTCTGCAAATTACATTCGGTATTGTTTCGTTATTGCGTTGATGTTTTAAAATCGATTCACATAATGGTAATGGTATGTATAAAGGAGATAAATAATGAATAGTGAGGTGTATGCGTTTGTCGTGGTGGCAATGTATGGTCACGCACCGCTGACGATGGTCGGCGGGGCTCCGCACCGCCTAGCTCTCCCGGTGGTCCTCGCGGGGCGGGGTCTTAGCGGCCACTCGGCTGCGCGCGCGCTGCCTCCCGCACGCCCCGCGCCCTCGCCTGTTTCCGCGCCGCTTATCGTCGCATCTTCAGTCTAATGCTACTTACGTACGTCACTATAACATTGTAAGCCGAATCTATTGAATTTACATTTCGTAGATGAAACTATTTAAATATAATAATAATATTTTATTTTAATATACTTTCTTTTCACCATTTAACGTAATTTAGAAGATTGAATCTATATATGCGTGCTTAGTACATTTTTACATTTGGTTGTCAATCAGTTTTCTTTTTCTTTTTTGTTCTGTAGCTATTGAAGGACTTTAGTATTATTAATGTAATCAGTCATAGGATTTTTTTAAATATTCAAAATAATAATAAATAAACAACAGATAATTAAGTGAACACTATAGTGTTAATGTAATCGCGCGCTGTCATCCAAATTGTAAATTTCGATGAGTTAGATTTGAACACGTGGCATGTGTTCAAATCTACAATTGATCATATACTATCACTATACTATGTGTGTGCTTAAACTACATATATCCCATATATGTGGAAAATTTTACGCTCACAAGTCGCCTGATATGTACTACGAATCTAGCGGATACCGACAAAATAAATAAAAGGTACGCCGCCTTGCATTGTGCTGGTTGTGTGATGTGTTCGAGCAACAACAAACAAAATTTGACAATAAGCGCTTGACTTTGAACGAAATCTAATTTGTCTGGTTATTGTGTAATGCGATCTGGCCGGGCGTCATACCTTTGAGGAAGCCTCGTTCTGGGCTCAACATATTTGTCGGTCGGTTACACAACAAATTAAAACTTAACAAGCTCACGCATACGATTTTTGAGGCTTTGCAATTACATTTTTTGCTTTGTTCATTTGCGCATGTACGCCCGCTGTAACAGAAGGTACGGAATTCGGACGGTAGACTGTGTCCTCTTGATTTTCCTATCTTTGACAAAGCTATTCATTATTTTTTTCACACGGCCACTTTAAGTAGCAATTGTATACGTTTCTATGAAACTGCAATTATTGAAAGTTAAACTTAGAAAAACATTTAGATGCACGTAAATGGACACTTTTTTCACGTCAAACCGAGGAGAAGATTAAATGTACAGGTACATTTTAAGTTGAACAAGGATTTTAAATAAACAAAATTAGACAAAAAGCAAACAAAACTTGTAAAACCAATATTCTGTGTCCACTTTTTAGCCATAGTTTCGAGACCGGACAATTGGCAAAAGGATTTGCAAAACGGATCAATTGAGCTTATATAACGCTTAAAAAGTTTGCAGATGAGCTTAGACAACCCTTTGTGTTACTTTGAAGAAAAAAAAAACTGTGTCTCACTTTGAGTTTTGCTTTTAATCGAATAGTGTGTATTATTCACAGAAATTTTAACATAATACAAATTAAAGGTAGTTTGTTGGTAGTCTTCGGTCGGGGGACAGGATCAAATAGCTACGCGATTCCCTTTTGTTTCGTAACTTATCAGATTTTAATTACGAGTCTAGAGAAATCTCGTTATACCTTAAAGGGATATGACTGCACCGAACTAATTTACTATCGTCCCTTGCACGATTTTATGTTCTCGAGTTTATTTTATTACCTGGTAATCTTATGTAGGTTCGACACGCACGCATCGTTTCATGGTGTGTTTCGCCCGCTCTGTATCCGTCCGATTGTTGTATCTTGATTATTTTTTATTTCTGATTATTTAACAATCTTTAAATCATATAAATTCCAGAATCATCTGTGGGAACTGGTGCTGGCTGTTTCCCTGGCGGCTCCGTAGTTCACACTGAGAAAGGACCGAAGGATATAGCTGCCTTGCAGAAGGGAGACAAGGTCTTAGCAGCTGATGATAATGGCATGATGATTTATTCTAAGGTATGTTATAATTCATCAGTAATATAAAATGAGCTTAATTAAAACTACTTTTAAATCTCGACTGCACGATTGACACGCTCGTCTGTGACCACGTAGACGTATACAAAACGTCGAAAAACATATTATTATAATGACAATAAAACGACGCACCATTAAACTTTAACAGTTAATTTTGTTTGCGACTCCTGAAAACTGACGTAAATATGAGCCGTAAATTTTTACATTTAATACTTTGATTTCCAAACAAAACGTTTTGAAACTTTTATTTTAATTTCCATTCAGCTGTCTTTAACAATTATTAATACAAACATTTCAGGTGCTAACATTCATCGATCGTGATCCTAATGCAACTCGACAGTTCATCGAGATAACTGCGGAGAATGGTGTTGCGATCACAACGACGCCGTCACATTTGCTCCTTCTCGCTGCAGCTGACGGTTGGCGCGAGGTCTTTGCGGCTAACATCAAAGAGGGAGACGTACTATTGACAAGAGGTCGAAGTGATGTTATGAGGCCCTCAAGAGTAACGAGAACTCGTATCCTCACGAAACGAGGTGTTTTTGCCCCGCTTACCAAAGCCGGCACTATCATAGTGGATGACGTTCTGGCGTCATGCTACGCGCTAGTACGCAGTCATTCGCTTGCGCATGTTGCGATGGCACCATTGCGATGGCTTTCCAGTTGGAGCACTTCTTCAGAAACGACCAAAGGCGTCCACTGGTACGCGAGCGCGCTTTACTCTTTCGGCGACTACGTATTACCGGCATCGTATAGATATCGATAAGTTTTAAAGAATTAATATACAATTTTCATATATACGTCGCAGGTCCGTTTAGATTTATCTGTGAAAATTTATATTAATTCAAGAAAATAGAAGGAGTAGGAAAGGGCGCGCAGGTCGTGCAAAGGACACATGTAAATATATTATTGAAATAGACAGTGTACATATAAACACAAATGTGACATCGTAGATAGTGTAAATATCACTTGTGGACATTTGAACGTTTAGATATATAATAAAATCGACAACGATCGCAGCTTACCCTCCCGTAAGAATTTATTTATTAAGTAATTTTTAAGATCATTATTATGCAAATTACGCATTATTCGATTAACAATACGTATATTTGTAAATTGTGTCGGTATTGTTATTCTGCACAATGCAGAAATACTTTAATGTATGCGCTTATGTTTTTTTTTTAAGAAACCGTATTATTATAATTATTATTAGTTTCACTTTCTCGGTGAATCGAAAAGATCCAATTGAGTAGACCTTGTTCTAAAAAAGGTTTCAATGTTATTGTCTTGTCGGGACACACGACGTTCGGTCGCAACCAGACATTCCATGACTCTAATCTTTTACCAACATACACAAATTGTTAATGAAATTGTGATTTTGGTACCTAAAACAGTGCCTTAAGTTTTTTATTTATTCTTAATTATAAGCTAGGTGTCTATTTATGAACTGACGAAATTATTTAGATCTAACTTATTCTTTTTTTTTTGTTGACTTTCTAACGCCTATTTATTCCTTATGTTGTGGTTTGATTTTTTCTCAATCTTCCTTAATTTTTATTCTCTATCTTCAGATTGTTTTTCTATATGAAAAACTTGATCATGTTTTGTTTAAATGTATTTCACTCAGCGTAGTGATTAAATCGATACAATATTTTAATTTAAAAGTAATAGATCTATCTAAAAAAGTTGATGTTTAAATTTAGTGTAAGTATATATTTAAAAACAACGTGAATATCTTATTTTTAATTTAGAGTCCTCAACTGTTGCAAGATAGTGTGAACTGAAATGCTAATAATAAAAATTAAGGTTATTGTTCCTTCAAACGTATATACGACATTTACAGATCCCCTAAGCAGTATTTAATGAACGTGTATTATTAAGTGACCTGTTGTAAGCGTCATCGTCCTGCATGTAGATCATGTTTTTATGATCGTGTACTGATGTATCGGTTCCTATAGAATGAATTTAAAGGACTGTAATTAGATTGCAACAGCAACAGCAATCACTAGGAATAATTTGTAGAATATATGTACTTTACATTGTATTTATTACAATCGTTTCAATACGTGACTAATGTTTCATTTAAGTAGCATATTATGCTGTATAGACACTAACAACTACTGTAAATTAGGTGCTTAAACATTATTTATCTGAGAGAGCTTTAAGTATTAAGTATTTGACAAAAGATGCCGTGTTGCCATAGCCTTTGCCATATTAATGTAAGGGATAAACAGTTTTCCATTCACTTAAAATCATAAAAACTTATTGCACAATTACGCACAAAATTGTTTGACTAGCGCTGTTTTAATTTAGAATGTTCCTAGTGAACATGAAACAGTTTTTGCCCTCTAAAATGTAATTGAAGGTAAATTTAGGTAAATTTTTTTATTAGGTCAAACCTTTTAATTTACCTATTTAGTGTAAGAACATTGTACTTACAAAGAATTACTTTAACTATTTGTGAAATCGAATTTCAGTATTATCATTAAGTAAGCTGTTTTGAATCATCAAAACAATATGTTTATTACTTTTACTGACCCTCTGTGAACGTCTAACTTTTATAGCGTAGTATTTAGCTCTTAATATTGTATGTACTCCCATTTGATTACAGTATAAATAAACTACCCAGATGTTTGTCAATGAAGTTATCAAACGTCTTTTCATTAAGAAATGCATCCAGCCTAGTTTCTGAATACGAACAGAGCCATCGATTTGAAAATGCAGCTCAAACTATTTATTTTTGTTCTAAAGAAAGAAGTTGATTTTGAAGAAACGCAGTTAAAATTTGACACCAAAAATTCAGGTTGAGAAACATACAACTGCTGTTACTTTTAATTCGAAAATTTAGATTGAAAATTAACCTAGCTTATTTCTTCGTGTTAAATACACAGATCACACGAAAGTCTTAAAGTGGGCAGTGGCTTTCAAGCTTCGTTGTCTATAGACTAAATCAAGTAGGTCGTGATCTAGGAGGCCAATCTAAAACCACATTTCTCACGTTAAAGTTATGGATATAGGAAATAATAACAAAGGAGGAATAACCTTGTGAAAAATGTATGATTCGATGTAAAATTATTGAACAATATTAATTTATTAGCTTTTCGTTTATTAGCTCTCAGTTTCTGTGAGTAGGTACTTTGTAAACTTATTTAATCGTCGATTCGTGTAATTATTTTTAGACATTCTTATAAAGAAAAAAACAGTCGTCTGGGATGTACGAAGTATTAGTTAGAATTTCTGTCGTGTTTACAAAATGTATTATTACATATAAATAAAATGTTGGCTTTGTGGACGAAATTGTGATTTCATTTTAATTTAATTCAATTAAATTTATAAATAACTAGCTGTACCCGTCCGCTTCGCTGGGCATTTAAAGTTAACATTATTATTTCTCACCCCCACAAAGATTCTTATCATTAACGCCCCCTCAACTGGTGTAGGGAGTCCAACACTTATATAAATAATATAAATATTAGCATATCCATTAAGTACATGTATTTTCTACATGGATACCAAGTTTCAAGTCAATCGGATGCATGGTTCAGTAGTTATAACGGAACATCCGTACAAACCACTATAGATTTATATAGGTATATTAGTATAGATGACATATTCCCCATGAAAACAATTCACAATTTGAGATTGAACATAAACTCTATAACGACTTTTCTTCTGTGCGATTTATTCTGCACTATAATATGATTGTCTTATATTATTCCATAATTCCATCCATATTTTTTAGTTCATTAATAATCTTTTACGACTTATTTCATATGAAATGGTTACCGAAACTATAGTTACCACCACGTGAATGCCACCACTCGCATTGACACAGCGAGGTCTCAATTGTATTTTGTGACAGCTATACCACATTTCAAGTCGGAAGGAATGCGGGTTTGTACTATAATAGACAGGATAAGAGATAATAGATACAATCCACTGACAACATTAAAACATAGCTAAATAGATATGGTTCCTATTTAGTATTGTTTGCATTTTTGGATGGGCCAAAAAACATTCTAAAATTATTTTGTTTTGGAAAAACATTTTCGTTATAATTTGCAAGTTGTCAAGTTGCTTTTATTGTTTCAAATGAGGAATCCAGTAGGAACAGGTCGCCAACTTTCTGAAACGCTAACTTATTGCGGTAGGCAGCGGCTTGGCTCTGCCCCTGGCATTGCTGAAGTCCATGGGCGACGGTAACCACTCACCATCAGGTGGGCCGTATGCTCGTCCGCATACAAGGGCAATAAAAAAAAAATTATTGATTCATAACGTCACATCCAGATGGACAGTTGTGACGTCATAACTAATTGTTAGTTATTTGACAATTTTCATACACCTTCATTAGTTTATTGCTTAGTAATTTCTGAACGGTTTCAAACATTTTATTTTATTTGTCATAAAATTTTGATTTTAACTGCTTTTTAGATAAGAAGTATTGAGAGATCTTTATTATGTAGCGAAATACTTCAATTTTGTTCTTCTCTAGATACCTAAGTTGGACAATAAGGTAATCTATCAATACCACGGCGTGATGGTGGTAGCATTATCACTACTTTTCTATGTGTTCATAATTGAGTACCTACGAATCGCAAAGTGGTCGATCTTCATATCTAAACCTTCTGATCAACAGGTGAACGTATTATTATCATCTGGGATTATTCATCTTCATAAATCTTCATTTTCAATCTGAACACAATGTATTAATAGATACTGTTATACTGTTGACTCATTCAGTTTATTTTCATAAGATAAAATAATTAAATTCTCTCGGTGAACGTCGCTTGTTCTAACCATTCCAGAAAATAGCTACAAGAAAACAAATAAAAGAAGAAATTGTGTTTCACATAGTAGTGTTGTAGAGGATTTTGATTTCATTTGTTTTTTTCAGCTTTGAATGTAAAATTTGATTTGGTTGAATAAAAAAAAATACAAATTGTACATAAGCATTTCAAATCTTCTTCTTGTACGAATTTTCAGTCTTATCCTTTAATCTAGGACGATTTCTGGACGACTACATAATATACAGATATATAAGTAGGATACAATTATTTCGATGGCTTTAAAACCCCTGGTGTCCTCATCGTTCTCCCCTTCATCTATTTACTCAGAATCCAGACGGTAACCTAAAAGGAGCCGTAGATGGTAAGCGACAGATATAAGAAACAAAACCGCACCACCTATTGTTTCAGGATGTAAAACTGGCAAACAGCTACTATCCTAACATACATGATAACATCGTACTGGATATTATCCAAAACACATAAAGTTCCAGTCACTGAATTGTAGGGACAGAAACATCTGGTACAGTCACTAGTCAAAGGGTATGAAAATGCAAAACTAATGTGAGAAACACTAGTACCCACAGACGTCAAAATAGTTTGCGATAGCTAAAATAAAACAGATAAGACAAAACAGTTAATAAAACTTACCTTTTATAATTCGCAGTACAATCTGATTATTTATAAACGCAATTTTAAGGCTGGATTCCAGTACGGAAACCAAAATTATTTAGTACGTTAATGAAAAATAGCTGTTATTAACGACCCGCTTCCGGCTTTCGGCGGATGGGTGAATCGGGGCAATATTTACAAAGTATATAACTGTTAGGACAGTGTGTGCAGTGTGGGACGGCCACCTACTAGATGGACCGACGACCTAGTAAAAAGCGCTGGGTCTCGTTGGATGCAGGTGGCAATGGACCGGTCGCACTGGAAAAAAATTGGAGAGGCCTATATTCAGCAGTGGACGGCGATAGGCTGAAATGATGATGATGATGATATAACTGTTATTATACATAGAAACACTATATATATTTTCCTGGACTTTATATGAGGACCTTTGATATTAAATTAATGTTACTTCTTTCAAAAAATTTGAAAAATTTGAAAAAAACGTGCACGTTTACGTTTATTTCTAACCAGAGACTCACAAACCTTCTTTAACCCTTTTTGAAGTGAGATTTGCTAAAAATCCTTCTTTGTATTGCAAACTTACAATATAATATATGAGTCGACTATTATCAAAGCCGGCAATGTGACTTTTGGACAATTATTGGTAAATCAGAAAAACGAATTATTGACTTTGTATTCCATTGACAGTCACAAAACTCTTCTGAACCACATCTTAGATAATTAACAGGTTAATTATTAAGCTTTATTTAATGCAGGTTTTGAACCGTATTCTTTGAAGGTGACGATTATATTCAAATCAATCTGTATTGACATATCAATAACATTTTTTTTTTCCAAATGCACAGATTGCCACCTTTGATAATAGACGACTCATATATTAGTTGCGAAAATTTCAAGTTTGAAACTGTTTAGGCTCTGTCTTATGACTCCGTTGACTCCTAGTTAGAATCACTGATGATTAATCTATAGATTGCGTTTTTAAATATGTACACTTTAGACACCAAATACTCTATTTTGA